TTATCTGTTAGAGAATTCACTACCTTCCCATCAAACATGGTAAATTCAATTTTATAGTTGATTTTATTGGTAGCAATTCAAAACTTTAGATCTTTACGTCTTCTCTTCATTGACTCAAAGCAACTTGGACTCCTTTCTGAAGTGGCCGGCAAAAGCGAGTGCTTGATGGTCTTTTCCCAACTAACGCGCGTACATTGGGCCAACGTATGTAAAACCATCACAAACGTCGGCTATTTTTTTGGTTAAAAAAAAATAGTCGACATTGATTCAATGCCAAGTTTTTAGCAATGATATCAATGAAAAGATTATTACTGACGTATTAAAAATAGCTTGCACTGTAACGGTGCTCAGTAATGTTGCTAGTAAAATTGATTGTTTTTACAATCTACTTCCAATGTTGATCAAATGTGTATAATCTAACGTTGATTCAATGTACATGGATCAACGGTTTTCTAGCAAATATAACCCAACTTTAGTTCAATGTATACGGATCAACGCTAAAACAATGTATACAACCCAACGTTGCGAATGCAAAATTATATAACTTAAAGTATACTGTGAATCTTTAAATAATAAACCACAAGCAAAACAAACATGAATAATGTCTATTTGATGGATAAATTTTAAATTAGGAGATATAACTTAAAGCTTTACATATGAATTCGAGGGAGCCCTGGACGGCAAAGAAAGTTAAGGAAGAGTTTATGTATCATAGCATCAAAGAAAAATGTGATGCTATGATACATCAAAGAAAAACGTAATGCTCTTTTCTTGTTCCAGTTTTCGGAGCGTATATTCGCACGAAACAGAAGCTAATCGAATATGATGAAAAACCTTCACAATTTTTGTATAATTTGGAAAAAGTTCAACAGCGGAACAAGTCAATTACCGAAATTCGCATGAATGACGGCACGTTGACGAGTAAACCTGGTGAAATACTTAACTTCCTTGTTTCATACTATAAAAACATCACATCAAAACAAATTAATGCAAAGATAGCCAAAACTATGTCTTGTCACATATCACTAAACGATTGAGTGATGATGAAAACGAAATTTTTAATAACCGTCTAACCAGCGCGGAACTAAAAGAAGCCTTTTTTAAATTTGAAAACGGAAAATCTCCGGGCTATGACGGACTTCCAGCTGAATTTTACACAACCTTTTTGCAAATTTTAGAAAAAGATTTTGAATTATTTGCTTACGAAATACTATTTGTAGAAAAAAATACCAGCCACTCTATGAAAAAATCAATAATATCACTGATTCCTAAACTAGGAGACCTTACTGAATGCAAAAAGGAGGCCCATATCCTTAATTGGCGCTGATTACAAAATAATCACAAAAGCGCTTGCTCTAAGACTTTCAAAAGTAATGGGGAAAATTATAGAACCAAATCAAACTTGCAGAATTCCTTTCTCAAATTTACATTTAGTCCGTGATCTTATAGATTACGCAGAATTTAAAAATCTACCTAGTTTCATCTTATCTATAGACCAAGAAAAGGCGTTTGACAAAGTTGATCGTGTGTTTTTGCTGCAAATTATCCAAAAATTCAATCTCAGAAAAAAAATTTTATCTTTTGTTAACACCCTATATTCAGAAGTTTCGGCATTTTGAATTGCTCGGCATTCTGGATTGCAGAAGTTTCGGCATTCTGAATTGCAGAAGTTTCGGCGTTCTGAATTGCGGTTTTTTGTCGGTCTTCTTTCCTACAGAAAGAGGAGTCAGACAAGACGACACACTCTCTTTTCTGCTATACGTCTTTGTTGCCGAAGCTCTCGTTTTGGTGGTCAGAGCGGATAGTAGAATAAAGGGTTTTCCACTCCCAGGAACATTGAAACCCCTTAAATTACAGCAATACGCAGACGATTCGAACTTTTTTGCCAGGGACGTAAAATCTGTCCGCTATTTCTTTGAAAAAGTAAAACTGTTTGAAAAAGCAAGTGGTTCAGTGATCAATACCTCAAAAACCAAGGATCTTGCTCTTGGGGGTTTTGATCCTAAAATGTACCCAGAATTGGACAACATAGAGTGGAACAATAACACCGGTTTCAAAATATTGGGTGTTACTTTTTACACCAGACTGAGTAATACTACCAACTTCAACTGGCTAGTAACTCTAAACAAAATAGAGAAAAAATTCAAGTTTCTGGGACTACGTACTTTGTCACTTAGGGGAAAGACTATGTTGATAAATACGCTAGCAATGTCTATAGAGTTTGGTTTCTGGCAAGTGTTCTTCCCGTTCCCAAATGGATAATAGAACGTTTATACAGTGCCATTTTCGAAAATCTGTGGTTATTGACCAATTTCAATCAAGTGAAAAGAGAGACACTTTTCTTACCCGTCAAAAACGGGGGGCTCGGAATTTTATCACCGAAGGAGCAAAGCCTTGCACTTCGCCTCAAAACACTCTTTTTCAATTTTCTCGATTGAAACAGCGAATTTATTGGGAAAAAACCCTACCTCGCAGCTGCTGTTGACACTCACTTAAACCATAATGAGTGCAATATAGAACAGTAGATGTCACCACATGTTCAGTAACATAAAAATTGACCCAATGGCAGTGATCAGGGTAATAATGAGGAATATCAGAAATATTATTACTTTAAAATATAGTTATCATGTCCTTAGAAACACTGCGGACATTTTCTGTCGACATTTTTGTATTAAGAACATTTTTTGCATAGTAAAGAATGGAAATCTGAAACTAAACATTTGAGATAAAAATAAAATATCAGCTCATAGCAAGATCAGCATGTATAGTAAAGATTTCTCTCAAAAAAATATTTCCTCTCTGCCGATGTTTTTCTTTTATACTACAAATTCTATTAATATATATGATTAAAAAATCACTGTTAGCCCTTATCTTATGACATATTATTTTAGCATATTAGTGTTGTCTATAGAGTTCATAAAGTAGTTTAGGTGTTACCGTCCTGTAATTTTTTTTTTTTTTAATAAAAATCTTTTTTCTTCAAAAGCTCTAAATTTCTTTTTACTACCCTTTGCAAATCTTTATCTTGCCTTACGATTTCCTTCCGCACATCGTTCCTTATATAAAAAATCAAAAAATACAAAAAAAATATAAAATCAAATAAACAAAAAAAAATATATATAAAATCAAAAAATAAAAAATGTAAACATATTTCTATATAAAACGAGTCGTAAAACGTACATTTAAAAAAAAAGCTCAACTAGTATCTTCTTAGGACTTCTGGTAAAGTGATCTCTATATGGTAAAAAGCCGGAAGAGGTTAAACCACAATACCATAAATTTGAGGGAGCTCTGGTGCTGTGTTCACTCACTTGCGAATTGCTTTCAGAGTAGTACATTAATTTGGAGCTAAGGTCGTCTTCACAGGCCCGGGTATTTGACCCTCTATATGGCAGTTAGCCGGAGGAGGTAAACTCACAATACCCATAAATTCAAGTGTATACATTTATAAAAAAAAAAAAAAAAGAGAAATGCATTTATTATTTAGCATAACTTTTTATTATAACTATTTATTTGTTTTAACTAATTAAAAAAAAATGATTATATAATTTCGAAAAAATTATTTTTATTTTGCATTTTTTCGTCATCTTTTTTTTTCTTTTTTCTTGTCTATGATAATCGATTAATTGTATAATTTAGGAATTATAATCGCAAATATAATTGCCATTATGATTGCCTAATTTTACAAAACAAATATTGGATACTATTTTAGCAAAAAGAATCCGGACACTGAAATTAAATATTTTAAAAAACTGTTAATAAAATAGTTATAGTAATATTACTATCGCAATTATCGATTAATTGTATAGTTTGGCAATTAGCCGGAGCAGGATAAACCACAAAATCTTATAAGTTTTTTTTTAACTGTAACAATTTCTTGTTTATCTGTATTGATAACTATCTGAGCCCTGATTAGTGCTTATAAATGCTGAGCTAATATCATAACTTTGCCTCTCTTGGTCCGTTCTCCTAAATCCAACGGCTTGATAGGCCTCCCGTCACCTGAAATATTTTTTTTCTTACCACATTTTTTAAATTCTTTTATTATTTTTGAGAGTGAATTAGAATTTTGAAAAAATGGTCTATTGTACAATTTAACACAGTGAATGTCGTTAAAAATTTTGAATAACAAAGTTTCAGATATTTCTATTTAAAAAAAAAAAAAAAAAAAATGTTGTACTAATTACTTTCAGATTATCTTCGTGTGTATAATATTTTAAGATAGGAATAACCATTGTGTCCTGTGTTGATTACGTTTTAATACTGTTACGTTAGCTTTTCTAAACGCATACCAAACAAAAGCAGAAAACTATATTCTCTGGACTAAATTTTTAGCAGCTTTTTGTAATCATTTACAAACAAGTGTCTAATCAAACAGTGTCTAAAAGAGTTTTGTTTTTTGCAATTACTTTTTATATCTACTTTAGGTTATTTATAAGAACTTTACTCAATTAAGGATCTTAATTAAAATAAAATGAAAAGTTTTTCTTTGGTTTACTGGGTTGTTTAATAAGTTTTGTTGTTCGATGATGCTATTAGGAGATGGTGCTATTAGGTTCGTCGTTTTTTTTTTTAAAAAATTGTTTATAAGCACGAGTGAAATTTCTTGTCGATCTGTTATATTTACAGATGTTTAAAGTTAACGTATTATAGTAATTTTTTGCAATGGAAAAAATTGAATACAATAATGAAATTTACGTTTTTGGAAGGTGTAGCACTTAAGTTTTGGGTTTCAAAAAGCTGTGCGCAAAATGGGTGCCGCATTCACTAACGATGGAGCAAAAACACAATCGAATGCGACTTTCTCAACAACATTAAGAGCTTTTTAAAAAAGATAAAAAGGATTTTGTGCGTCGTTTCATCACTATGGATAGGACTTGGGTCTACCATATATATATATATATATATATATATATATATATATATATATATATATATATATATATATATATATATATATATATATATATATATATATGAACACGTAAATACTTCATAAATATACAAAAACGACCTCATTTTTTTGACAATATTTTATAATATAATTACTAAATGAACAAATTATTTTTATCTCCTGTAACGATAACGTTTGAAATGAAAGTATAGCTGAAATATATTGTTATAAAACTGACATCGAAAACCGTGTCTGTTTGAACACTCCCATTCGCGGTCGACAACTTTAAAAGCTATATCTTCGTAAGGCGGCCCAGCTTTAAAACGAAGTATGCAGAATTCCTCGTCGTCTTCACATTGCGTCTAAAATAAAAGAAACACGTGGCAAAGTTATATATATATATATATATATATATATATATATATATATATATATATATATATATATATATACACACACACACACACACACATAAATATATATATACACTACCGTTCATAATTATTCGAATGACATATTTTTCCACTTATTACATGATTTAATAAACATAAAAGTTTTTTGATTAAAATGCTTTTATAAAAATCATAAGAATGCAGAAGTGGGCAAAACTGGACAATTTATGATAATTTGGAGTTAAAGTGACGCGTCGAAGTTTTAAATCTTTGGTTTCAAGAAAAGAGTTTATGCGAAGAAAAGTCGTTGAATGCATTATAAAAGTGTCTATTATCGAATGTGAAGCATGGTGGATGTAGTGTTGAGGTGTGAGGCTGTTTTGGTCGGAACGCCACAGGTGATATTGTAAAAATAACATAGAAAAATGACAAAAATTAGTTTATTTAAACATTCTTAAAAAGCCATGCTATACCTTTGAAAATTGGATTATTCATCCAGGTCATATTTTAAAAATCCGAAAAATCAGTGGGGTAAAATATCCGGAATATATTTTTCCTAATATTCCTAATAATTTTGATTTTAGCTGAGCTGTTTTTAATTTTTTTTTAACTTTTCTTAAGTTTTTTATGAGTAATGAGTGAAAAAGCTTAAAAAACAATTATGTTACAAAAATATATTCCTAAACTTGTATGTATAGAAAACATTTTTGATATCCGGAAAAACTAAAAGTTAAGAAAAATATCCGGAATTCCGGAAATATCCGAAAAAAGATAATCCCTGATGTAAATATATATATTTACATATAAATTATATATAATAAATTCAAATATTAGTGTATTCTACAAATAGAGTGCTCAATGTTCTTGATATATGAGATATGAATTTACTGGATCTACATAGATTCAAAAGCAATCAGGAAGATCACACAAAACAACTGACGTCGTCAGGATAAAAGCTTGTGATAATAATCCTCATTTAAAAGCTATTGATTTAAATCAACAAAAAAAAAAAAAAGGTTTTTATGGAATGCATTGTTTAACTACAAAACGTTGTTTATATCATGCCAATGAATTTGGAAGACGCTAAGTCTAAAAGAAATTGATACTTTTGAAAAACTAAATGCTCGAGAAGAATTAGCATTACAGCACATTCGAGTGGAATGGTCAATATTGGTTAAAGATTTTTTTAATGACAAAAACAAGTTTATGCAGTTCGAATCAGATGGAATCAGGTGCGTTCGATGTCCAGTGGGCATAAAATATGATCCTAAATCCCAACTGCTTACCGTAAAACATGGAGGAGGTAGTGTAATGGTTTTAAGATGTTTTAATCGAGACGGTGTTGATCCCCTTCATAGACATACCAGAAACTATTGTTCAATAAATATAAAAAGTCAAATATATGTAAGATCATTAGGCAAATTGGTTCACAAATTCTTCAAATAGAGTAAAGTTTGAATTTTGAAGTTGATATCACAATCAACTGTCTTCTTTGAGATAAGATATCATTTATCATTTATACTGATGGTCAAATCAGCTTACATTTAATGCTAATTTATTCAGAAAAATCAAAGAAATATTGCACTCAATTCTGATTAATGTCTGCATTAATTTAGTTGACTTGATGCCTCGTAGATATGAAGCCGTTCTTTGATTGTAAAAATAGTCTAACAAAATAGTAATGTGATTTTGCATTTTTAAGAATTTTTAATCAATTATTATTAAAAAATGCCTACTTTTTTAAATTTAAATGTTTTGTCCGCAAATTTTTGAACTCATTAAAGACGGTTATTTATTTAATCAATTAAAATACAGATAATATATAGATAGATAAATAGATATATAGATTAAATGATCAATATTTGTTAAAAACTTAAAAAAAAATTTATTAAAAATTTTAAATTTTATAAAATGGTAAATCGCAACCAGTGATTTTTTAAATAATGATTGCTGATGAGTTCTCTAAACTTGATTTAAATATGTTATAATACGAAAAAATCAAAGACTTTGTATCTACTTAACTTATAAATTGGTATATAATATGTTAGCTTTAGTAAAGTATGTGTTGAAATTTTGGTAATATTCAAACATTTTCACTGTCAGCAAACTTTTGGATGCTACTGTATATGTGATAAAAACAAACTTTTAATGGTTAGAGCCTTAAAACCAAAAGATCAGAGAACCCATTCCTGACTATATTTGCATGACTAACATTTTTGTTCTTGTTTTAGCATGACTGGGGTTCTAGTCCCAAAATTCGAGTAATAATCCAGGTAGGGTCCGTCGATACCTGACCCAAACCCAGACCTGTATATAAAAACCTGATCTGGGTACAGATCCGCATCTGTATATAACCGACCCATCAGGTTGGTCCTACTTGGTTGTTTTTTTAAATTTTTTTAATAAAATGTTACCATTTTTTTTAAAAACTAGATACAGAAGACTGGAAGAAGATTAAAAACAAAAGGTTTTTTTAAATTGATAGATTGCCGGTAAAACCAAAGCCCTCAGTCACACTGTGGAGTATTTGATCGAAAAAGTCAATCAAAAATATTTTATTAAAGTTACGACAACAACAACAAAAAAAAAAACATCTTAAAAGTTACAACAACAAAAAGTTTTTTCTATTAAAACTAAAAATATATATTTAAAAAATATATATATTTAAAAAGTATATTAAATAAAAAAAATAAATATATATATATATATATATTAAATAAAAAAAAAAAAGTTCATTAAAGTATAATTGTTCAATAAAAATTTTTTTGTATAAATAAAATGAATTAAAACCACACATTTATATATCTTAATATTATGTTCATGTTCGAAAAATCTTGTGTTATATTTCAACATTTTTCTCCAGGCTGATTTTTTTAACATAAGATGGCTTGATCTATATTCTTGACATATTTCAAAAAAAAAGCTGCCAAAAAATGAAATATATGTACTTTTATGGAATGAAACCTACAGGTATTTGTACCTTAAAATGTATGCGTACCTTAAAAAGCTGGTAATTGAATTTTGAAAACATATATTTTTAAATCAATTGGAATAAGGTTTATATTATACAAGGAAGTAACCATGGCATAAAATAATATAAATTAAATAAATAATAAATAATATAAATTAAAACAGTCCATTCAATATCAAGTATACTCAATATCAGAATATCACCAGTTGTCAGACAACTAGTGATATTCTAAATTTTTTCTAAAAATTAGACATATTTTCATTTAAAACATAAAATTCAGACTTGAAACAAAGAATTAAGTTATGACTATATATGGAAATGATCAGTAGTTACATCAATGACTACAGTTACAGCTTAAATCTAATATTTAAATCCTATTTCTGTTCTAGCTATGATCAAATACGCTAGACCTTGATTTTAAGGTGCACATTGGTTTTCTAAAACCTCTTCTTCATTGTCAATTTTAATTTTACAACTTATTTATCAAATGAAAAATAAATTTTAAATTAATAAATAAAACACAACTTTAATCAGAAAAAGTAATAAAATGAATATAAAAATATCATTTTTGGTTTAATACTGTCAACTTTGAAGGATTGCTTGTAACATGATTTGCTTTGCAGGATTGATTGTTGCTGACTTTAAAACATTATTGCAAATAAGGCACTGCTTGTAGCCAAATACACAACACCTTCTTTATTTATTTCTTTGTTTTCTTTTTCTGTTACCGCTTCTAAGACTCCATCGACCCATGTGTTTGAGTTACTTTTATGGTTTTTTTAAAGATGTATTTTGGGGTAACCTTTAAATAATGGTAGCAAATCAGGAACATCTTCAATAGGTAATAGAGATTAAGTAAGACCATGTATAACTTTATATGAATTTTCAAGCCTTTTTCTGTAATATTCACGAGAACCTGTTTTAGCATTGTGAGGGGATGAAACAACTTTTTGTACAGAGCATTGTTGTGGTGTCTGAGAAGACTGAATAGGTGCTATACATCTTGCTGCTTCTTCAAATTTATTATTTTGCAGTTAGCATTTAGACCTGACTCTGCTATACCAACCACTAGCTGCTTTGATTAAATATTCTTTAGTTGTCCATGATGACCTGACCATGATAATTCTCCTAATATAAACTGACCTGACCATGATATTATATATTGACCTGACCTGACCATGATATTTCTAATAATATATAAACACAAAACGATCATTTGTCATCATGCTAGAAAACAGTTTAGATATGCGTTGTCGATAACGATGTAAACTATGATTTACTTGATCCAACTCTTCTTTACACGTTTTGTGTCTGGTGAACCAACAAAAAGACAAATTTATTTTTCACGACAATAATGAAGGACACTTATGTCAAACCTTGAAGAGTGACCATCTGTTATTACCACCACAGGTCTCTCTACATTTTTCTCTGTTAACTTGCAATCAAAGAATTAATAGAAATCGAGTAGAAAATTGTGATCTTGTACTCCATGTTCTGTAGCTAATATAAGCAAATTTGGAATCTTCTCCACAGTGGATTTAGGTGCAATTTTGTTGGTTATTCCTTTTCCTGATAATATTACATGGCAAATAACTACATCCCCAGCACAAGACACAAGTGGGTGAATAGTAATACAATTATTGCTCTTGCAGATCATTTGATAGCAACTGTCACTCTTTCTAGCAAACACCAATCCACTTGCACTCCCGTCAACTCCAAAGTTTATGAACTGTGGAGTTTCATCATGATTAAATATGCGTTTAGTATTTATTTACTGTACCACACTCCTTCTGAAGTTTTTTCACTGTACTTCATTACACCTGTTTTTTAAGTGCAGTTTAAAGCACAATTCATAGAAACTCTTCCTTGTTTTTTTCGAGTTAGACTGGGGTGCTTTGCCTTGAAATCTTGACCAGAAAGAATGCGATAGTTCATTTATGATTATTACTTTTCTGCATTAGGTTTAAAGTTTGAAGTATAAGCAATGATTTTTCAGGTTTTTATTAGCATGCATACAATTGATACAATGCATACTTTATTATATTTAAAATGACTGTGGACAGCTCTTTTTTTGTAATACCTTGTAAACAATACCTTCTGAAGTTTTTTCACTGTACTTCATTACACCTGTAATACATCTACTTTTATTTTTTTGCATACAATACTAATTTATTCTTTTCATTCTTTGTCAAAATTGGTCTTTATTTTTACTAATTTTAGCACCATCTAAATGTGATTTATAGTTCTAGGATCAACATTATAACCACCTTGTTTAACAGATTTGTAGCCTCGACAGTTGCTTTTTTTTACAATAATCCACAGCATTTGCTAAAATGTTTTGGTTCAATTCTATTTCGTCTCTGTAAGAAGCTGCTTGATATTTTGTTTTAGGTCTTAACCTAAGATTGAACTTTGGTCTCATTTTAATATACTTTAACTGAAAAACAAAATTAAAAAGTATTATGAATAATTTAAAATATAACTTTTTAGTTCTTTAAAAAATCTTATCTTTAAATAAAAACTTTTTTTTATTTCACTTAAATAAAATATATACTTTATACTTATAATATACTTTTTAAATATATATTTTGGAAATTATTAATTGTAAAGAAAAAAAGTTTTTTTGCTGTAATTTTTTGTTGTGGTAACTTTGCATATTTAAATATTCGATCTAATAATAGATCTTTTTGATCCTTTCCAAAAATAGAGAAAATATCAATTTCTGTTGTTGTGCATAAGCACCAATTAATAGTGCATTCATTAAACAAATAACTATTTGTTAAACTTTGGTACCAAAGTTTAACGAATAGTACTATTTGATAAGTGTATAGCACAATTTGATAAGCGAATAGCACTATTCGATAAGCTAAAAGCACTATTCGATAAGCGAATAGCACTATTCGATAAGCGAATAGCACTATTCGATAAGCGAATAGCACTATTTGATAAGCGAATAGCACTATTCGATAAGTGAATAGCACTATTCGATAAGCGAATAGCACTATTCGATAAGCGAATAGCACTATTCGATAAGCGAATAGCACTATTCGATAAATAAATAAATAAATAGTAATAACATTTTTTTCTTTTAAATAGTAATATTTTGTTTTAGTTTTTTAATTTATAGATACTTAAACTTGTCAATGAAATCTTAGAAAATTAGAAAAAGAATCTTGTTATTTTATACTTGTTATTTTTTTTGAATTGTCTGATTTTTACGTTTAGCTTAAAAATTTTATTGCATTCTCACGTAAATTCCATCATGCGAATGTAATACCCAAATGAAATTATTTGTATTCCAAACAAAAATTATAAAAATTGCTAATATTGTCTATAGGTAATTGTTTGTTTAGCAATCATTAAAAAAAAAAAAAAAAAAATCTGATTCTTGAACTTTAAATTGGATTTTAACAATCAGTGAAATGAATAGCAAACAGACAAAGTTTTATAAGGATCTAATATTATGCATTAAGCAATAGTAGAATTTGTTAAACGAACTGTAAAAATTTTGATTAGAAATCGTTGCTTTTGAGATCTTACATGACATTGTCTTAACTGGGATGATTGCAATTATGTGACAACTCATATTTGAAACCAATATTCTAATTCTTATGTTAAAAACTCTCTTAAAAAAATTAAATAGAAATTTTTTTAAATTAATTAAAAAGAAACTCCTACAAAGAACGTTGTTTTGTAAATTTTAATATATGTTATACATTGCAGTTTTATTTTTATAATGGCTTTTAAATGATTAATAACAAGGGGTACCAAAAACCCTTCAAAATAATGTGAAATTTAATATTTTTAACAAATGGAGTTAAATCCACAAAAATAAGTTTTATTTTAAAAATTTACATAAAGTGCTTCCAGTAAGTATTAGAAATATTTGTCAATCTGTTTTTTGTTTTGATGAATTAATTAGAAGTTTAATGACTACTTTGAAAAACTAGTAAAAATAAGTGTGAAAAAGTGCACTCAAAAAAAGTAAGTAGTAAATATAAGTGCACTCATTTAAAAAGTATTAGCACAATAATTCCTTTGAGAAATAATTTTTTGCATTCTTTTTGATTATAATTAGCCAATGGCAATAACTAGCCGTCCTCATCCTTTAAGAGGTCGCCAAAAAAAAATTTGATACAAAGTCTTACCATAAAACATAGAAACGAGGCCGACAGTTTTTTGCCGACCTCAAACACTTTTAGGTAAGTATTTAGGTCGACATTGCTGAATGCCAACCCTATTTCCGAGGGCTGTAATATTCAATAAAAAAAAAAGTATAAATTGAAGCAACAAAAACATTGTGAATGTGTATGTAATACAGTAAGATAAAATTTCAAATAAAATTTCAAGTAAAATATAATACATTAAGATAAAATTTTAAAATCGAAACATCAAAAATGTGGGTTTAAAGAGCATACAATTGAAAAAAATGGCAAGTTGTTGGCATGCATTAAAATGGTCTCAGCAATCAAGAAATAAGACGTCACCTTGAGATCAGCGAATGGAGCATTAGAACAACCCGCAAAAACTATAATGAGCTTGGCACATTTGAAGTCAAAAACCACTCTCATCATTCTAAAAAAATGTCAGAAACGGACAAAAATAAAGCAATTATGTTCGCTAGAAAGAACCCGAACATGAACATAACTAAAATTGCCTCAGACCTGAATACAATAATGGATGCACACCAAGTTAGATCAACAATTTGCAAGCTTATGAAGAAAAAACAATTCAATTTGTACCTTGCAACTAGGAATTTGCTGATAAGAATAAACTACAAAGAATCGAAGACCATCTCAAGAGAAGAATTTGATGCAAAGAAAGAGCTGCATAGACTGCATAGCAATGGACAAAAGTACTTTAGTTAACTTTCAATCAGATGGAAAGGATTTTAGTAAGGGGATGCAAAAACGAAAAACATAATCCTTGTTTTAGCATTTTCAAGGGGGAGATCCAATTGGCATTTGGGGCTGCTTTGCTGGATCTAACACTGGCCTGGCATACACTGATTGCCTCAATCAACATTAATATAGAGAAATATTAGAAAATTATTTACAGCCTTCAATGGATGTTTTTGAAACTGCCTTACTTGGCAATTTAAACAAGATAATGCTTCTTACCATACAGCAAGCTCAATCAGGCAATACATGGAGAAAAAACAATTGAATCTGATGCCCTGACTCATCTTGCCTGATTTAAACCCTATTGAGAATCTTTGGAGTTGGATGGACTGCGAATTGCATAAAAGCAAGCCCACTAACTTGGTACAGCTCAAGACTCAAAGGCAAGCGTTGTAAAATACAGTGCCTCAAGATCTAATCAAAAAACTTTTAGATTCCATGCCGCGTAAAGTTTTGGCATGCCTTAAAACAAAGGTTCTTAATAATTAACTTAAAACAAAGGTTCTTAATTTTCGAAAGGTAATACTTTTGCACATCTTTTTTTATCTTACTTTTGTCACTCTTATTGTATTCAATTAAATTAAAGATAATAATAAAAAAACATTTTTTTATATTTGACATTTTGTAATTCTGTTTTCTTTTATCATTAAACTAAAATGTAGCAGCACACTACAAGATAGTCAAAGTAGCAACATTCCGTGCATTACACACATAAAGTAAAATATAGCATATAGAGTATATATAGTAAAATATAGTAAAATATGCGCGCATACACTAAAAATAATTAAAAATAAAAGCATTGAAATTTTTTTAATTAAAAAAAAAATAAAATAAAAACATTTAGCAAGTTTTTAAAAATATTTTAACCTTTTAATTTGCGTTCATTAAGTGTTGAAAAATATTTTAGCCTTTCAATATAAATACATACATATATATATATATATATATATATATATATATATATATATATATATATATATATATATATATATATATATATATATATATATATATATATATATATATATAAATATATATATATATATATATATAAATATATATATATATATATATATATATATATATATATATATATATATATATATATATATATATATATATATATATATATATATGTATATATAAAACTTACCAGTGTATACTCTGGAGTAATTGTTTTATCAATGAGATCAGGATAAAATATCTGAAAAAAAAATTTTAATTCTGCAATTTTGTTTATACTAAATATCAAACAATGCAAATAATAAACAAATTATGCAAGTGTAACTATGCAAATTATGAAAGTGTAAATACAAATAACTTATTTATGTCAAGTAATAATAGGCACAACTGTTTTTTGTTTAAAATTTCATTCACAAAAATATTAATAAAAAAGTGTCCTTAACTGCAAATTTGATTTTTTGCCATACTTTGGACTAGTAGTCTAGTAGCCTTACTTCAATACCGGATGAAAAATAAAAAAAACAATGTCTATATTTGAAATTTTTTTTTTAAATATGGGGATAAATAATTGCAGAATTTTTTGAAGAATTCAAATGTGATTTTAAAATTTAAACTTGTTGATGTTTTCTAATTTTTTTGCACAAATGTAAAAAAACAACAACAAACATATGACATAATACAAATTTAAGTAATACATTTTACCAAAAGTTTGGAGACATTAATTTATCATCCAGACAAATAAGTGGTTTATATATTTTAACAGACTCATGATGATGAATTAATACCCAGATCTGTAGCCAGATCAAGCATGGATCTAATAACACTAGACAATTTATTATTAAAAATCATTTTGTATGAAGTTGCAAAACAAGCTGAACTAAATTTTTTCATGTTTCATTTTAGTCAGTGTTTGTAAGCAGTATTTACATTTGTAGAATCAATAGCTAGAAAAGGTTTGCCAAGTTTTCAGCCAACCATTCAACAATATTAATTGTTATTATATCTAACATATATCCAAGTATGTTTGAAAGATTTCTCAGGAGTAAAATAAATACTTTTCTAGAGGTTCCGTAATAAAATAGAAATGCTTTTTTTACATAGATAATGGGAATTTTAAATTTCCCATTATCTATGTAAAATATTATGCAACTGCATAATTTGGTAATGATAAAAAAAAAGAAAAGAAAAAAGATAAATTGGTAAAAAAAGGTGAAGAAAGGTGAGTTGACTATAAAAATAAATATGATGGGCTGTCCATGAAGACAGTTACTGCAAGAAACATGTTTATGAGGAACAAAACACATTCACATACTAGGCTAAATACTAAACTTGTATGTATTATAAGCTCCAAAAATTTTATGTCTGCTTGAACTATGGCAGGAACCTTTCATTAAAAGTATGAGACAGCAAGAGAAGTATTTAAATTATTTTGCACCTCTACTTTTGAAGATCACTCTGCAGCTTTTTTTTTACATAAACTTTTAAAACAAAAAGAGTATTCTTTCACTGAAATCTCAATTTTTTTCTTGGGTATGCTTTTTCAAAACATGTGAAACATTTTTTGTTGAAACTCTACAGGTCAAGTTTATTTGGTTTTAAGCATCATTTAAAAAAAAAAAATTGCATTTGTATAAAGGTGTGGACTGTTTAGTTATTATTTAATAAAATTTAGAATCCTAAACTCCTAAATTCTTAAGTTGTATAGTTAACAATGGCGGGTTATTCTTTAGGTCTAATTATAATTTTCTATATAATAATGCCGAACTTAGTTTTAATAGTGTCCCTTGAAGCGCATTTGACAAGAAATCCTTCGCAGCCATTGCAACCGAAGAATTGGCAAGAAAGAGTCGCAGCACTATAGGAAAACGTGAACGAATATCGTACGTAAACTTTAAACTAAGTAATGTTAAAGCATATGTTAAGACATACTGAAACAGTTATCAAGTTTTACAGTTTGATTTTCACTTGAAAATTACATTGCGTCAAGCTCTCCTTAATTTTGATCTATAACATTTTTTTCCTCCAAAAAATTATTACATTATTTTAAAAAATCTATGCCAGATTGTATGCTGGTGTAGCTCAAGTGGATAAAGCGTCGAACTTCTAAACAAGAAACTAGAGGTTTGATTGCTACCAATGGCGGCTATTTTTTTAAAATTTCTTTTGATTATTTTAAAATACAAAATAACTTTATAAGTTTTATAAAGATTATATACAAACATATGTAACGTAACGATATTAAACAATTTCACAAAAGAAAAGATTTTAAGAAAGCTAAAAAAAAAAACATCACTGGGAGAAAAAATTTGTTGTCTATCTATGATGATTGAAACACTTATGTTATTAATGTGCTCAGGTAATTAGTCCTAATAAGCTGCGGATGGTCTGAAAAAAAAGTTGTCTGAAACTTAATAAAGAAAAAAACTTAACAAGATTGCCCTGCTACTCTAGAAGATGCTGCTGTGGAGGCAAAAAAAAGCCTGTAGCTAGATAAAACTTTAAAACTTTCTTTTGACAATTAAAAGTTTATTTTGCTACATTTTTTTTACTATAAATTTATGCAGCAACTGTTTTTCAAAACGCCTTAATATGCTTATGACATATTTATAAAAAAAAAACGCAATTAAAAAAAAGTTATTTAAAGTTAACTCTTTGTTAAATGTTTTTTAAAACAAATAATTCTAACGAATTTTTTTCAGAACTCTTTAAAAATATGTATTCAATAATGTTTGTAGACATAAACTAACTTATTTTGTGAAAAAGTCAAAAATGATATTTTTAACCTTAAGGCGTTTTGAAAAACGGCTGCAGTATGGATGATACAACGAATATGTTAAAATGAGATAATTTGACACAAAATTTAAAAGCTCTTAACAAAAGCCACTAAACCAAAAAAATTAAATATAATAGCTTAAAAATTTTATTATAGTGAAAAATTTTATTTTAGTGAATATAGTGATTGTAGTTTAAAGTTTTATTATAACACTTAAAACTTTTATTATAGTGCGTTGGTTTTTGCAAAGAAACGCTATATAAATCATTTTTTAATTTTAATAAACTAATTTTTTTTTAACTTTGTTGCGCTTAACTGTCCCTATATAAACAATGTATATATAAACATATATGCTATTTGTTTATATATATATATATTGTTTATAAAATGTAAAAAATCCACTTATATAACATTTTATTCAGAATTGTATGTAATATAAGTAAACTTTTCTAATAGTTACAAGTCTTTTTTGCTCAAGCTGTTTTGTTTGGATTTTTTGTAATTATGTTAATATATTTAAAAAAATTTACAAGATTAAAAAAACACGAAACATATTGTCACTTCCGCGCTCAACAACTCATTGTCACTTCCGGAGAAATGAGTTGAGCGCGGTACTACCAGGGACGTGGTAGGGATCGAACTCGGAACCACTTGTTTATAAAGCGAGTGCTCTACCACTACACCACTACCGCATTTGTTTAAATATGTGTTTTTAAGAATATAATCTATAAGAATACTTTTAATTTAATTTTTCAAAGGTGAAGCAGCAGATTCAAACATCATTGGCAGATCAAATAATTTTTTGGGGTTCTATTTGGTTGTGGGGGGGGGGGACTTAACTTTTAGAAAGCGTTTAATATTATTCTTTTAGTTCTTAATCATAAGAATTAAATTTTTTTTTTTATGACTTTGGTTTAGTGGTCTTAAATCTTCTTAATTTCATTTGTATAGCGTTAGGTAAAACTTATGTAAGTGTAAACGTCTTTATGTTGAGTTTGCAGGAATAATTGCGTCTATCTATATATCTACAAAATGAGAAAACTTTAAAATTTTATTTAAAATTTTTTTTTATCTTACATATTATCTTATATATCTATAAAATTTAAACTTTAAAATTTTATTTTAAATTTTAGAAATCTTTTTTGTTATATTATTATTTTTTTGCTATAAATATATAAACAAGATTGAAAAAATTTCAAAACTTATTACGCTAAAAGAAGGTCTAAAACCCTCCAAAACAACACTGATGATAGCGCACTTAATCACTGAGCTTTAAATAAAATGCATTTAGCAGAAAAACAAAGCTAATTATAAGTATCTTATAAGCTCTACGCATGCTGAAAAGGTGCGCATGTTTTGCTCTTTAATTTTTTTTCAGAATATATTCTTTTACTAAAAAATATTGAAGTAAATAAGAAATAGGTATAGAAATTTTCGGCTAGAAATAGATATGTAAATTGGTAAAGATCATTGGTAAGGGATCCTGAAAGCTAGAATATATAAGGAAAAAGTATAGAAAAGTTCGGTTTCGAATAGATATACAAAGACCCATATTTTTACAGGCCTGATCTCAGCTAGTAAATTATAATTAGGCCTTTATATATATATATATATATATATATATATATATATATATATATATATATATATATATATATATATAATATATATATATATATATATACATACATATATATATATATATATATATATATATATATATATATATATATATATATATATATATATATATATATATATATATATATATATATATATATATATATATATAATTTATTATAATTATAATTATTCAAATAATTCAGGTCTGATTACTCAAGTAAAGTGAAAAGTGTTTTTAATATGATGACATTGACATGCTTGTACGGTTTGCAAAAAAAAAAAAATAAAAAAAAAAAAAATAAAATAAACTTACATTGAATTTATAACCTTGCACAACTTTTGGAGGTGGGTTGTCTTGGTCATAATGGGTTTGATTATATTTGTTCCATTCATAACCCTGTTAGGTGTTAAAATTATTAACTATTAAAATGTTAAATGATGAGATAAAACATAAAAAAAGCAAAAAGTTACCGTATGAACACGATTGAAAAATCGTGGTTTCCTGGGTTTATATTTATCTGACCAAAGATATGTCTAAGTAAAAAAAAGAAGCATACAACATTTATATATCAATATATAAAATCATTTATATATTTAGCTATAAATTATGTATATATTTATTTATAAATTAATCATATGTTTATTTAACTATTAGATAAAAAAAAAAAAGAACTTAAATATAAAATTTTTTAAAAAAAAATTTCTACTTCACTTTTAGAATTGCTCTAAACACTGCCACCAAAAAGTTGAAAATTGAGAAAAAAACTAAAACTTATTTTGTTATTATCCTTTTATGATATATTTTTTTGATATTAGGTTATTTAAAAAAAACTTAAATTAGCAAGCGTAACAAAGAAAAATCTGTTATATTATATTATAAATGTTTTTACTTAAAAGGAAAGCATTCTAGATTTTCTTCTGCTGCCAGTTTTATAATATATAAAAAAAGAACAAATCTGAAAATATCAAGTGGATACAAAAAAATCCGGTCAACTTTAATTTGAGATTTCTCTAAAATCATAAATGCTTTTTATTTCGATTTCATTTATATTAACTAAATTTTTAGGGGTTTTAACTAAATTTTTAGGGGCTCGATACGCTGTTTACTAAGAGATCAAATTTTATAGGGGGTTGATACCATCATTTTGCTGATTTTTTCTTTTTTCACCTTATTGGTGGCAATAATCTACTTTTTTTGGAAGCCTTTTTTACTTTTTGTTAGTCTACCTATTTTACAAAGACCTCCTTTAACTATTGGCCAAAAAATTTAATCTTTCACTCCTCATGACAATTTGGGGGATTCGCATCTTTAGAAACAATTTTCACATAATTATCTTTGCACCACTATAGAACTTTTTTATAATAGTGAGAAGCAGTAAGATCTGGCAAAAAGAGACATCAGTATTTGTGGCATTCTTTGACGCAGAGATTGGCAGCCAAGGTCTTTTTAGTTATAAAACAAGAGGACTGTATACCACAGCTACATATTGCTTGCCACACAAAAAACTTCAATGCAAATTTTTTACATCGTATATATTTAAATAGATCATCAAAAGTTTTATCTTTGTTTTCATAGTAAAATTGTTGACCAGGAAATTGTGAAAAATCCTCATTGCAATATGTTTTTTTGCCTTCAATTATGCACATACTTTAATCCGTCATTATTTAAACCAACTTCTTTCCTCATTGAATTCCTTTTATTTCAAGCGTCTCTTTGGTGTATTTTTTTAATGAAATGCTTTAATTCCAGCATATATAAGTACTTTTCTGATATAAGAATGCGAAGTCTTGAATTTTCTTGCTAGATCTCGCTGTGACTGGCTCAGATTTCTTGCTATTAAACTGAGAATCAACTTTACCTTTTGAATTTATGGAAAGTTTTCTTTCTTCCAGGTCTTTCTTTTGAAGCTTTGAGTAGTCTTGAACTTATTTATAATATCTATGGCTGTAGATTTTGGGACATTTGAACATTTAGCAATCAAGCGATATGAAGTCATTGGATTTTTGCAAAAAATATTCACAACATTTTTACGCACCTCAATTTGTTTTCAAAACATTTAGCAATTTATTGATTTGTAAACAAATGTTTATCAACAAAATTAAATATAAGAAAGCATCATTTAATTAAAAAAAATAAAAAAGCTTTTGTGGTTTCAGAAAAATTCCAATTTAAAATTGACCGGATTTTTTCATGTCCACCAAATAATTATTAAAATAAGGTTGATTTTTTCACCATTCAACATCTCTATGCCCCTATGCACTACCCAGTAAGTACATAACACGTTTAATGTCTAATATTCATATTAATATGTACTATTACATATCTTATACAAGTTAAACACGCTTTGTATTTACTGGGTAAGCAGTGTTTGTAAAAAACAACACATAAACTTGGTATTTATAATTGAAAAAATTCAACTGACTTAAGTCTAAAGCTAGTAAAAACAACTAGAACTTAATTGTATTCTATTATATCCAATTATAAATATCTTGCAATTATAAATACATTGCAAATTAGACTGAACCTAGACTGATTGATTATTATGAAGTAATTAACTTGACTAACCCAGAATTTGCAACAAAGTATTTTTTTAAAAATTGATTAGTGATGAAAAAAAACTTACCGATGGTGTTTTGAGTGCAACTGGTGCATTAAAAGCTTCTTCATTTTCATTCATACCTCTTAAAACTTCAGTATTGAACATATTATCAGCCTCTTCCTCCTATCAAAGTATATAAAAAAAGTATATAACTAAATAATATACATACTACTTAGTACTATACTCTTTAGTACTTATAACTAAATAATATACATACTACTTAGTACTTAAACTCTTTAGTACTTATAACTAAATAATATACATACTACTTAGTACTTATAATTCTTTACTATTTATCGACACAATTTTATTTTATGATAAATCAATAAATTTGTGAGCTATATTTTTAATTTTATTTATATTAGTATTAAAGAGCAAATGCATTGCAATTGGTCAGTCCATTATAGAAACTCACTATGTATCAGAAAAATGAGTGAAAAAAGAACTGGGATAAAATAATTAAGTGAAAATACAAAAAATTAATATAAAGTCATCAAATCTAAGAAATAAATTTTATATTTATATATTTTAAATGCTCTGCTAAAATAGTCTGCTATAGCTGCTGAGCTTAATTCATTTGAGGAACTAATTGTTGCAACTTTGATAATGTTGCAACCTTATAACAATTGATTGTTGTAAGGTTTCATCTTTCGCTCGTTTCTACAAACAGACACAATCATAGTTGCTACAATCAGTGTTTTAGAATTTTCTCCTGTTTGATTTTTTTTTTCTCTTTACTCTGTTCTTTATTTTCTAGTAACTTCCAGCTTAAATTCAAGAAATATTTCAAGAAATAATAGAATTTTAAAACAAGCTAGAGGTGCTAACAACAATGTTATTGGAACCAAACCTATGCTTTATTATTTAAATTAAACCTATGCTTTTTTGCATTAGCAATACAAGCAAAATAGTAAAAAATCTCTTTCAACAAGGAAGTAACTGTTCAAATAAAAGTAAATAGAGGTTGCTGCGAGCAACAGCTAAAAGTTACTAGAAAATAAAGAATAGAGTAAAAAGGAAAAAAAAACATCAAACAGGAGAAAATTCTAAAACACTGATGGTATATATATATATATATATATATATTATATATATATATATGTATGTATAAGTATATGTATATATATATATATATAAGTACATGTATATATATATATATATATATATATATATATATATATATATATATATATAAATAAGTTTAATTTTGCTGTGAGCATATATTCAGCAGGAGTGCTCGATGAATGATATCAGAGCTATATAATTATTTTTTTGACAAGGTTAAATAAAAAATAACTACATAATTTTTACTACTAATATATATATATATATATATATATATATATATATATATATATATATATATATATATATATATATATATATATATATATATATATATATATATATATAAATCAAAACCTATAAATCACAACCTCTTGAACAGTTGATCCTGCTTTCACTTGACCTCGCAAATACATCTATAACAGAAATGTAATTGATCATGAAACTTAAATATAATAAACAGTTATTTTAAATTTAAGTTTTAAAAATATATAAGTAAAAATTGAATATAATTCATAGCCATGATTTAACTTTTGTTCTTAATATATTTAAACTATGGTTAGAAACATTGCAGCTCTTAAATGCCATTGAAAAGTGTTTTACACATAGGATATATCCTACTTTATTATGCAAAGGCATTACTTTCAACTACAAATTAGTTAATTAAATATTAGCTGAATCTTTTAAATCAAAAAATCTTGGAGTAATTATATCACCTGGCTTTATCACTAAAATATATTATTAAAGTTATCCATGAAGCAAATACTAGAACAAATGTATCATTAAAGGTAACTCCATGTAGAAGGAAGACAGAAATTTCACCCATTCCCTCAGATTTTGATGAAATATAAAACTAAGATTAACTTAAAAAATGTTAATGCATGAACTTGATCATAAAATTGTCATTCATTTTATTGATTTTAGAAATTCTACCAAAATATTTGTAGCAGTTTCACAATAGGTATAACAATAAGATCCAAAAAACTTTTTTTTTTTTTTAATTAAAGAATTTAAATGTTTGAGCAAAATCATTATCACCCTTTTTATCTATATGACTAAAAACGGTGAAGATGCATAATGGCTTGCCCCAGTTGCAATTTGAAACTGGAAGTCTATCAGAAAGATAAACTTCCAGTTTCAACAGTTAGTGTTTTACAGTTGAAATACCGACAGTTGGTATTTCAACAGTTGGTATTTTACCTGTGATTGATCTTCTGAAAGCTAGAAGAGGTAACAAGCCACTTTATGGTGCCAACATTCCATCATATGGCAATTTGCAAAATCAAGACAAATTTTGATTGCAAAACACAGATTGTTGCAGAGATCTCTAGCAAAAAAACCTTCAGTATAGTAACATAACTTATAAAAATGTTTGCATATTTGATTTCCGGACAATTTTTTGATAAAGAAATAATTGTAATAGCAAGACAAAGATTAATTTTTGTATGATAATTGGTTTGATAACTTTAAACCAATAACCATACAAAAAAAAAAAAAAAATCAAGATATATCATAATAGATGATAATTAAATAAAAAGAAAAAATTTTTTTATGTACTTTCGTTTAGCCCCAACCCTATTGCCTTTCTTTTTGTCCTATAGCGATTTCCTGCTTAGATTCTTCTTCAGCTTGTGGTCGGGACAACATACCTGTTATAGTCTTGCAGAAGTGTTCTCAGGAGCTGCTGCCTATACTTTCAAAACTATTTAACAAGTGCTTATCAGAGTCTTGTTTTCCGACATGCTGGAAAGTGACATCTGTTATCCATATTTTAAAAAATTCTGGAGAGCGATCTGACTCGTCAAACTACCATCCCATTAGTCTTCTTTCTATCATAAGCAAGGTTTTTGAATCTTTAATAAAGAAACACTTAATCTTTCATCTTGAATCTAATAACTTAATCTCTCATCTTGAATCAAATAACTTACCTTCTGATCATCAATATGGATTTCAATCTTCTTATTCTATAGCTGAATTGCTAACAGTAATAACTGATAGGTTTTATTGTGCATTAAATAGGTGTGGAGAGGTTAAGGCTTATGCTATTGACATTTCTAAAGCTTTTGATAAAGTTTGGTATGCTCGTCTTCTTTTTACAGTGTATCAGGCAACATCTTTAAGATTATTGAATCCTTCCTTTCCAATTGTAGTATAAAAATTGTCATCGATGGACAGCACTCTTCTTCATATCCTGTAACTTCTGCTGCATCATACGGCTCACAGTGGCTAGTGAACTTTAATTCAGATAAAACCTAATTTTTCTCAGTCAATTGTTATTGCAATAATCTAGATCTTCCTGTATTTATGAATGGTAATGTACTCGATGAGTCATTTACCCTTCATCTTCTAGGATTAACTCTTACTTCCAATCTTTCTTGGAAACAATATATCAAGTCTATTGCAAAATTAGCATCTGCTAAGGTTGCATCACTTTATTGTGTCACACTCTCTTACTCTTGATTCTATTCTTTATCTTTATAACTCTCAAATCCATCCTTGTATGGAATACTGTTGCCATATCTGGGATGGATCTTTCAATGATACCCTTTCTATTTTAGGCAAGGTGCAAAAACGCATTGTAAATATAGTTAGACCTGCTCTTGCAGCCAACCTCTAACCATTATTACATCGCCACAATGTTGCTTCTCTTTCTCTTTTCTACAAATACCATAATGGACACTGCTTTAAAGAGCTAGTGTCTCTTGTGCCATCTAATAAAATTCATCCTCATGTTTTCGTCATTCAAATAAGTCTCATCCTTTTACTGTGACTGTTCCTAAGTACTCCAAATAACATCAGTTTTATGGAATTTGCTTCCTTCCTCTTGCTTTCCTAATTGCAATCTTTTAAGTCATTTTCAAACAGAATAGGTAATTTTCAGCCCAAATTTATGGTTTAAAACATTTGATCCAACCACATTTTGGTATGATGTCTTTTATGTAATATTAGAAAAAAAAGAGATATTAAATAACATCACCTTGATAACAATGGTTTTTACATTCCTTTGATAACAAGGGTATCAAACATTTAATATAGTTTAAAATATTGTATAAAAATATAACTTACAAATTATTATTTTAAAGAAACATTTTCCTAACATCACTTCTTTTACATTAAAAATTAAGTATTAGTCTAACATCTCTTCTTCTACATGAAAATCATTTTGAATTTATTTGAAAGTTGTTTTGTCCGCTTTCAAATCAAAAAAAGATAATTAAACATTTTAAATGAAAAATAAAAAATTTTAAATTTTTTTTCTTAAATAGAAATATTTTCTTTTCATCTTTAGATTCAATATTTTCAAAAATAGTCTGGTAATAATTTTCAGTCATTTTCTTCCATTAAAACTTAAATTCTTCAGGAAAAAGTACATCAACAAAAACTAAAGAGAAAACTAAAGAATGTAGAAATAAATTTTAAATTTTTAAATTTTAAATTTCTAAATTTTAAAATTTCTTTGTTATGTTTCAAGAGACCAAAACCATAATTATATCAAGATGGTTTAACATCTCTTTCAATTGAAAAAAATTTGAAATCCACCAGTCAACCAACTCAATGAGTTAAACAAAGTGCAACCCATGGTAATGAGACAGAAAATTTTTTGCGACTAGCCTAAAATAATGAATTTTTTTTTTAAATTAGGTTATCCTCTTTAAATTTTTGGATTTAGTGGAAATAATAGATGCCTAATTGAAGCTGATTTTTATGCCAAACTTAAACACTAAAAAATATCAGTCACGTGATCAAAGTAAGTGCAAACTTTAATTTAAAATGGCTGAAAGTGATATATATTTTTGTAGTAATTAGTAGATTTAGATTTTATGTTTTTGGACATAGATCACGATCTTTTAGATAATGAAATAGAAGTAGATCTAAATGAAGCATTAGACGAGGCAAGTTAAACTTCATATTTTATATTTATACATTGTACATATTTTAGTGTAATAATTGTTTATTCAGACTGGACTGATCCAGTCAGCAACTTGTACATGTGTGTGAATAAATCATTATATTTATTTATATTTCTAAGCACGCTAATTTTTTTGTAGTTATGATTTTATTTTTATTTTTTGAAATTTACATGTAATGGTTATTCTTAGGTGACTACATCTGCTGCATTCTCATGTCAAAAGTGAAAAAAGTGTTATAAGACAAAGGGTGGGTTAACAAGACATATCCAAACAAAACATTCTGATGGAAAACCTGATACTGTTGAAGCAGAAAATTTTTTATCAGTTGAGACAATAAAAACATTAGTTAATGAATTTATCTATAAGTGAACGAAGTTCAGCTGTAACATGTGTTTCAGGAGGATAGTACTGATAAAGAACATTTGCAACACTTGCACTTAAAACTTCAGTGGCATATTGTACATTCATTACAGAACATGCAGTTAAATGAACATAACTAAGTTTTGATAAAACCTTAAGACTGTTATTTAGTTCATCTACTATTTTAACAATATGGGACCAAAAAATACTCTGATCACGATTCAAAAGACTACAGGTACATTTACCCTCACCAGAGAGAATGTTTTCATTAGATGTGGAGCATCTGCAAAAAAATATATAAAACGATCAGGTGCATATAAATTAATAGTGCGATACACAACATCTGAGTCATCTAGATTGTCTAATCCACTACGCATTTTATAAAATGATCGATTTGGTGAGGCACCATCTGAAACTGCAACAATTACTTTCAAGTTACAACAAAGTTCTAATATAGAGACAGCTTTCCAAAATGTTAGCATTATTTGCATAGCTGTTACACTATTAGTAGCAAAATATGCATGACAAAATTTGAGATTGCACGCAATTCCACGCATATAATATACTAGACAGTGACTGGCTAAATCATTTACATCAGTAAAGGTGGAAAAGTTTATTTCAGGGTCTCCAAGATCAACGTAACCAACGAGCTCACCTGATGATTTGTCAAATACTAAACTGTCTTGAATGCGTATTTCATCAAAAGAGAGTACAACATTTCGCTGAATATCAGAGAGGTCTTTTGTATTTTCTCTTAATTCAGCAATCACTGCTTGGTTAAATCCTACAGATAGTCGAATAGCATTCTTATAATCGCGTAGTGTCCGCCTACTTGAAAGAGTTAAAATTTTAGCAACTCTAAGTTCATCATATGCTCAGGCTGATTTAGATGCAAGAGAAAGACAAAATGGAATTATCATTGGATGATATCTAGGAACTTTGCTAGTTAATAAACGATTCTGTTCTTCCCAGAAAAGTTTCATAAATAGTGTCATGTTTTTTTGGTTCTTACTAATTATAATATCAAGATCAGAACTTAAACAAGTGCTAGCTTAAATACATTTAGCCTGTATTTCCTTCTGCATTCTTTTAATATTCTGCAAAAGTTTTTTATTTTTAGAACGCTCTTTAACAAGGTTTTGCTG